AGACCAAAATATACAATAAACGTAAAAAATTAAATAATTTTAATACTTTGTTCATGCCACGTGTTTTTCTCCAAAGGATGGCTTTTCGCCCTGACGATATCTGTCGCTTGTTGGGTGAAGACTAGGCAGTCGCTGGATGATGTTGCGAGAATTCGTCCGCACAATTCAGTGACAGGCCACTTTAATCATCTCTTCACACCAACTTTTCCTCTGAACTGAAAATCACACTCACATAATCCGTCTTTAAGCCAGCTTATGCGAGCCAGGCGCCTTATTTCATGAGATTTGTTTCTGCCCACGCCCTGTCAACTGATCGTGCAGGCGCTAGACACCCACCGGCTTTCCGGGCAGGTCCCCGTTCCAGCGGTTCTGAGGTTCGAGTGTTTCGCAGTGCTGACAATATACTTTACAGTGAAATTAGAAAAATAGACAAGCGGTAACTAAGGTAACTATTTACGGAGATGGTATACAATAAATCTTGTTATCATTTGCAACGAATGCAAAGTCTTGGCTGCCACTTTGGTGGGGCATTATGCAGACATTAGCAAGACTCTCGGTGAAGAAGGTTTTAAAGAAGGCCTGTGAATTGTAGACAATTGCAACTGTTCAACACTGTTCCAAGCGATGATCTGTAGCAAGCTTCTTCACGCTAAATGGCCATTTTCTCGATGGCCTCGACCAAACGGTAGTCAGGCGAGGTTGGGAGTGATGAACTCTGGTTGGTTGGTTTGGGCAAGTGCAAAGTCATCTAAAATGAGTTTCCTGCAGTCTACGTGTTGGTGAGAGCATTTTGAGGTTGTGACTTGACCTTTTGCGTAGGTTGCGCCTTGAGGAGGAGGGTGGGTAACGAGATGGTGTCCAAAAGATTGCTTCAGGAAGGAAGTTTGGCCAAAAGCAAATGTTGAGTCGATCTGAACAGAAGACAAATGTGAACTAGCGCCATTAGTTGTTAGGGCCTTGTAACTTATATGAGATGTATTCACCCAATTTTGTTTAAGGTGATGAAGGACTGGTAGAAGAAGAATTTTCCCACAATCATATGAGTTGAGCTGACGTTCCCATTCAATTTCACATTGCTTTGCTTTCCCAAAAGTTGTTCTCATCCCGGCCGGAGTGGACTGCAGTTTCCACCTCGCATCGGTCTTTTCAACACCCTCAGCTCAACTCATATAGTTGTGGGAAATTTCTTCTTAAACGAAATTGAGTGAATACATCTCATATTATCATACAACAGACGAGCGCTTTGCCCGTTCTCACGGGAATCGAAGGAGATCGGCTCGGGGAGAACGGTGTCAACATGAATGTTTCAATAAGTCTGTTCATGAGAAATCCGCTGTCGTCTTCTGGCGTGATGACCTTCGAGTCTCTTCATCAGACACTTTCAGTCGAAATAGAAGATGGCTCAAACAAAAGTCATTCTCACGACAAGCTGAGTCAAGAAAACGTACCAGCTTGTCTCTGAATTCTGTATATATGACCATACTCTAACCATTCTTATGAGGTTGGTTCAAGTTATATGTTGACAGAGAAGCATGTGCTTATGTCTGTTTGTGTGCACATATTCGTTTGAAGACAACATTGATGGCTCAAACTAATTATTGTTTTTCGTGACAACCAATAAATCAGTTATAAGATGTATTCACCCTATTTCGTTTAAGGTGATGACGGACTGGTAGAAGTAGAATTTTCCCACCAATGATATGAGTTGGACTGACGTTTCCATTGTATATTCGTATAGCTTTGCATTCCCAAAAGTTGTTCTCATCCTGTCTGGAGTGGACTGCAGCCTCGACCTCGCATTGGTCTTATCAAAATCCTCAGCGGGACTCGAACCGCGACAGTGCAAGATGGTAGCTTGATACGCTAACCACTCGGCTAGACTGCCCACGGCGCTTTTTTGGGTCACAAGGCAAATGTTGAATTTTCAAGGAAGACCAGGCCTTTTTGCCATATCATATGTTTTTTGTGGAATTGTCGATGAAGCAAAAGTACGTTTTGCTATAACAATCGACTACTATACTTTATTTTTCGAATTAAGCATTGTTTTTTTCGTGACTACCAGTAAATCAGTTATGAGATGTATTCACCCAAGTTACTGTCCTGCACTGTCGCGGTTCGAGTCCCGCTGAGGGTGTTGATAAGACCAATGCGAGGTCGAAACTG